ACTCTTCACTTGTTTCCTAATTCAATACCATTTGTATTTAGTAATTGAACTGCGAATTTCAGTACTTCTTTCAGAGAGAGCAAACACGAATTCACGCAAAAACATGATAAATTTGCCATATATTTTTGATTTCCCTTTCAGACCATTACGTGAACCCATCAATGAACCATCACATGCATTTGAATTGACAGGAATCGCCTCGTAGCATGATTCAGCTTTAATTACCACTTCAGTGGTTGGATAATGCATAATCCCAAATGATCGCTGACTCTGTTCGACTGATTTCAACTTACCAGCGATGTTTTCAAGTTCAGAATCGAGCACATGCTCAGTGACACCAACAGCGAATAGCTGAATGTGCTGTTGACGTGCCTCTTTCGCTGGTTTCAAAACGTTATCCTGCGAACGTCCATCTGTGATCACAATCGCTACACGAGAAACACTGTTCGATGAGGGTCGGGCACCGTGTTTCTCACTGAATGCCTCTGTTGTAACGTGGTGTATCGCCGCTCCAGTTCTTGTCAATCCTGTTATGTATCTGAAACAGCAAGCATTTCGTTCAACGCCAATTCACACAACAACTTCAATGGGTCCGTCTGCGCAATATTTTACATTTTCAGTGAACATGAACTACATTTTTGTTTAGCCAAGAGGATAGAAATTTCATGGTTCCATGGATTGATTGATAGAGTGTATCTTTTGAAAGTTATTGAGTGACTGGGAATGATGCAGGGTTTTAGAGCGATTTTAATGGCTAACTGAATGCGATCAATAGCATCCTTGAGGTCTCTTGCGCTTGTGTATTGATTCAAGTCGAACTCGTGACGGATGCGATCTGAGTACTGCACCACAGCGACACGCGTTTTATCCGATGCGATATCGAACAGCTCGATAAATTCTTTCACGAATCTTAAAACCTGAAACCAACATCTCAGTTAGACGATTCACTAATCAAGGATTGCTGCAATGACTAAGCTCATTCATACCTCTTCTCTGAATACGTCAGAACTGATTGATCCGCTACCGTCGATCAAGAAGACGAGATCTGTCGGTTGAGCGGGACTGAAAACGATTATTTGATTTGGGAGAAACTCATTGTTACACTCTGAAGACTGCAGTTATTCCATAATCAACAGGAATTTGCTCAGTTGGATAAAAAGAGATTGAGTACCATGTGGTTTGTAGCGTGCATACTCTTCCTGGTGGTAAGTTAGCATTGCTTGAGACATCAATGTAGCCATTGAAACATTTGCAAGTGTAGCCATCTGGTAACTGCACACAATCTGCATTCTCGTCACATGAATTCAACGATTTGGACGAACATCGATTCTCTACTGAAAATTGGCTTACGGCATACTAACTTTTCCAGAAATTACTGCGATCATTTCTAACAACTAAAAGATACTGATTAAATTTGTACGCGTTCACTGGCTCATTCTAGCTGGAACGAAAAAATGACGATTTAAGAAATCGCACTGTTTCCCAACGCTTTTGTGAGCATTTCTTTATTAGATTTTTGGAAATGATAGTAAAATATGCGTGCAGCTATGTAGCAAAGGCCAAGTAATAACTCGACTAACCTTTAGCGCATTTTCTGCCCGGCTTAAGGCCGTAACGAGACGAAACGTCCGTGTAGCCTTCATTGCACTTACACAAGAAGGCGTCCTGTGTGTCCTCGCATGTGGCATACGGTGAACAGTCATGTGTTCGATCACCACATTCATTGATCACTAAACATCTTCCGGTCAGACTTGAATATTTCAAAAATGCTTCTCACAATATTCCTCTTTACAATAAGCCACATTTTCCAATATTTTATGGCTAATTTTTGATATGAACTAACGACTGAGTAACGTCACCTCATTTATTGTTCCTATTGGAATCACTTCTGCTTTGCATTTTTTAATGGTCAGGGTTACTGTTGGTCCCTCATTATACTACATGATAGAAGGCGTTCATATAACTCAATTGATTATCGCATGAGTTTATCAGTCTTTCAGTCTATCAGCTTTACTTCAGTACCAGCTTACTGGATATGGGTCAAATAATTGTCAACCTTAAGAAATGCTTCCGAGTCTGAGATGAGATCTCAACGCTATTTGATCGTTGAGATCTCGCGATTTGATCTCTTAAGGCTGATCAGAGGCTGATTTGTTCATCTCTATTTGAGCTCAAAATACCTATATCTTATATGGATGTNNGCATAAATATTCTGAGATGGTTACCAAATCATTGAATTGACTGACTGATTTCAACTGCAAATAAACAGTAACGACAAAAAACAAGAAGCACATATTTTTGTTCGTTGCATTGCAATCAATCAAACAAGTTTGTTTCGTTGCATTTGACAAGCTGATAATTAGATTTATCAGAGACAACATTTCCTTCTGAAAATGCGATCAAAAAACTGGTTCATTTGATTTGCTGCAAACAACCATCAAATTTTGTCATACAAACACCCATTCATGTTCTCAAATGCGTCATCCACTCGAATTTCACAACTCAAACACCAGTTGGAAACACGACCTTTTAGGCAATATCTGATGATTCAATTGCATTCAAGCAGCGATGATCATTCAAACTCGAATCGATCATTCAAAATCGAAAATGATCTCTCAACATAGAGAACTCATTCGTCAATGGACTTAGCTCACTATGAACACATCGTCAGTGGAAGAGAAACCCGTCAAATGATGGATGTGTGCTTTTACATCATAGAAACTAACATTGTTGACATTTGCGTCCCGGCAATCGAGCCGGGTCCGGTGAGATGTCCAAATATCCCGGTTTGCACTGGCAGTTGTAGCCATCATAAGTGTTTGAACAAATTGCTGAACGGTCGCAATCGTGATGTTGCTCACAACGATTGAATACTGAAAAGTGCAGCGATTCAG